TAAGTCATTCAGCTCTTTATAAATAAATGATCCATGTTCAATTTCTAAACCTAAGCTCTCAATAAATTTCCGAATTACAACACATTTGAGAATAAGATTTTCTAAAATGAGTGTCACAGTGTCTATGCCAGGGCCAGCCCTCGGCACTGGTTGATCCGATTCGTGGTACGAGGCAATAGAGATGAGGTGGTACGATAACCTTGGTGGACCAATGTTTCAGACACATCGACTTGATTATCATATACAAGCAACCCACACTTTCTTTCTACTGAAACCAATTCTTGTCAAACTTTCAGTATATAACACCAACATAGGGGAGAGCTAGATGTTATAAAACCTTGAATAACTCGATGGAGTGGCCTAAATGTTTAGCTCGGGTACGACCAATCAGTTGCTTCAAATTAAAATATACTCTATTAATTAAATATTTAAGAAACATTCCTAAGAGCTAACCAAGTTGTACATATCTACACTGTGATTCTAGAGGATCAAACTCCATGGTTATTTAGAAAACTCATTGTCTTGAGAAGTAAGTCATTCAGCTCTTTATAAATAAATGATCCATGTTCAATTTCTAAACCTAAGCTCTCAATAAATTTCCGAATTACAACACATTTGAGAATAAGATTTTCTAAAATGAGCGTCACAGTGTCTATGCCAGGGCCAGCCCTCGGCACTGGTTGATCCGATTCGCGGTACGAGGCAATAGAGATGAGGTGGTACGATAACCTTGGTGGACCAATGTTTCAGACACATCGACTTGATTATCATATACAAGCAACACACTTTCTTTCTACTGAAATCAATTCTTGAAACCAATTCTTAAACGGGATACAGACATTGCCTCGAGCAAAAAACTCGAAAGCTCCAATGAGGACAATGTTACATAAAAACCTTAGTTCTATTTCTACATTTGTGCTTTGTCCTAAAAAACAAGGCGGACAGAACCTTCGCCTATGCCAGGAATAGAGCTACAAATGATGTTTTTCGCATGTGGTCCATTAATCTCAATAATACAACCCAACTCGCGTCCCCCTTCAAGTCCGGCTAGAATGTCTGAGAGCTGGTTGGCACAAAGCTCTTGCCATTTTTAATATTTCTACGTGCCAGAAGAATAAGTTGGCTATTGTACGTATATTCAAACTAATTCGCGCCGTTGTCTGAGCTACTACCAGCTTGGTTCGTGAGGACATTGTTCCCAAAATCGCCATCCAAGCTCATCTGCTGGACCTCTTGAGGCGAAAGGATCTTTATGCAACGTACACAGTTCACAAACTCCCTGTAAATCCAAAATTATGAAGAAATGTTTAAAACAAAATTTGTAAATTTTGCTGTTATACACAAAAAGTGTAATAGCAAATCATGTTTTGGTGTACAAAAAATTAAAAAAAAAAAAGAGAGAGAGAAAAGAAGAAGAAAGCCTTACTCCCATGGATCATCACCAACAAGCAAGACATCATTCTCATGATCAACATACACGAGCTTCCACCCTATCCTCTGCCTGTCCTCCAGTTGTCCTTCAATGCCAAACCTAAGCGCCAGATCCTGTTTCAGCTCATCATAGCCCGAGTAACGAGTGATGTCAATCGATCTTCCAACGGCTCCCCTTTTGTACACCTTCAAAAAATAAAATTGCCTAAGTTAGGTTTAACAAGAATTGAACACGTATATAAACAGGCAAGCCTGGACATTGATCGATGATCATAAACAAGGAATGATAAGTTTATGCTCTAAATAGGAGAAACACGTGGCTATCTATTTAAAAAAAGCCAACTCTTTTTCCAATATAGAGCAAAACATCAAGATGGCTTTTCTGGATTTAACCCTCAAACAACATACCTTGGTATATGTCCGCATCCGTGGTATCTGCGATGGGGCCCATGCACCCCTACTCATGAAGCCCCCATTGTTGATCGACGAGTCAACGGAGTTAAAGGCCATATCTGAAACCCCAAACGACTGTGAAACCATAGAAGTCGACAGCTCAGCCTGCCTCTCCTTCTGGCTTGAGAACAAGTCCCCACCGGACGGCGCCCTATTAGCCGTCTGCAAGTCCCTGTAGGGCTCCACCACGTTCTTGGCCATCATGTTCTCAGAAATCATGGGCATCTCCAGCTGGCTATCTGTGTTGCTTCTCGGATCAACCAGGACTTCATTGTCCGGGCCCGCTTCCCTAGGTAACATCGATTGATAATTGAACATCTGGACCTCATTCTGAGAAAGCACCGATGTCGCAGAGGAAGAGCTGTCCACGTGGGCCCCATTTGTATTGAGATATGCTTGAGAGTCCACAATGCCTGGACTCTGATTTTTGGATACATTCATTGACGGCTTGACATAACCAGCATTTCTTTGTAAGTCGTTCATTGTGTCCCCGTTAGAAGGCACAGTCTCTAAAGCGCTTGGACTCAATAATGGAACCGAAGAATGAGGAACTTCTTCCTCCAAAATTGAAGCACGTTGGTGTCGGGCGCTCATCATTGACTGCACATTATTTGGACAGTTGTTTGTGGACGGCGACGTTGAACAGGACGGGACATCGTCGGTGGCAGTGGCAGAAAACTGGCGACTGCCGACTGGGCTCAGAGTGGAGGGAAGCACGTGCCGAAGATTATTCTGGCTGTTGTTTCTCATTGTCTGCTGGGACAAAACCTGGCACTGCGGGACCATAACAGATGTCGGTGTAGCTGTTCCTTGAGATGGGTCCAAAGTTTTACTAGACGGCGTAGTAGGCCTCCGGAAGTTTTGTGGAATGTCCAAAAGCTGAAGCTTTTGATTATCATGAAACTGCAAAAGCTCGGGACTGGGCTGTGGCATAACTGATTGCTGTGCTAAGAGTGACTGTTGCTGCGTATGGAGCATCTGAAGAAGCTGCATCGATAATTGATTTTCTGGCATATGCAGCCGCTGGCCCGTTGGATCTGACATCTGTGCTGGCATTAGATTTGGCGGTTGTACGGGCTGATTTTGGGGAAGATTTTTCTGAAGCTGCTGGTGGCTTATATGTGATTGTGGGTGTTGAAAAACATTCGGAGCTGTAATAGAACTACTGCTCGACGAGGGTAGAATCTGGGACGGCCCTTGGCCAGTGGGCAAAGTTTGACTGGTTAAAGTCTGTTTTGGTTGACTTATATCAGTCAACTTCTGTTGATGCGGTTGCACGATTGAGCCTAGCGGGTTTGTTAAAGAAGGTTGCAGCTTCTGGAGTTGGTCCAGTTGTTGTGTTGGTTGACTTGGCATTTGAGAATTGAACTGCATGTTGCTCTGCTGAGGTGGCATTTGAGCTGCCGACAGGCCTAGTTGGCGTGAGATATCTGTGCCGGCCAAGTTTTGTAAGACCGAGCTGGGCAGTGAGCTCATGTAGTTGGGTTGCATGGGGTTAGTGAGGGACGTGTTCTGCTGCATGTTCATCCACTGAGCTAGGCTGAGGCCTGGGAGTGCTCGTGGGTCTTTGAAGCCATAGTCGTCCCCAATCCACGGCATTGTACGCTTGAATATGCTGTCGAGATCAGTAAGGTCGTTATCTGCAAGAGAGATCACAAATGAATAACTGCGCCTAAAAACCCGGGAAATCTTGAAAATTATAAGAACTACCCCACCCATGCAACTCCTAAAGTTTGAATTTATGTTAGATGTAAGCGGCTGACTATATAACATTCTTAACAAATATGTGAAAGGTAAAAAATTTAATACAGAACCAAAAATTGAGCGGTCTTTCATAATTTCTGAAGATCTCAGGCCTTTCTTCAACAAACTTGTGTTTTATTGTAATGCAAATCCCTTATATACACTTGTAATCTCTTTTTAGTTATTTATTTTTATTTTTACCTGGCATTCCTGGTTGTCTTGGACGCTTAGGGAAGAAGAAAGATGGTGTGGGACAAATGAAAAATGGGGCAGTTACGGGTTCAATCTCCCAGATGGAGACACGGGTACGCTTTTCACCAGCTGTTGACTCATCCCACCCGACCTAATTGTGTGAATGCAAAAGTGAGGGTTACTAATGCATAATATATGGACACTAACTATTACCAAATGGACGAATGTGTTTCGTGGCGCCATTACTTGTAAGTTGCGCCATTGAGAGTTTTTCCACCGGACTGGATCCAAGTCGCTGATTCCCGTAACCGTACCCATATATCTGCCCAAGGTGCATGGGAATTTATTATGCAAAGAATATTTAAACCATATTATCACTGTAAAAGGATTACACACACTACATACCTTCTCGTTCCAGATTCTTCAGTTTCAAACATCATGCGAAAGCGCATGCCAAGAGATATCTGGTTACTGCTAGTAGCTTTGTAGCACTTGGCAAGAGGGATGACAAATTCCGACGGGCTAGCCCTGCCCGCATTCAAATAATATATTACAATTTAAATAGAATATACAAGTTTACAATTTATTTCGGATCAGCTGGTGGCGAAAGATAATGAAAACTTCCACAAGTGGTGCTTTAATTAGTAATACTCAGTAAAAACAACCTTGGGTTATAAAACACGGTGAAAGGGCTGTTGTTGGCAGCGGCATGGGCAGCTGCCGCTAGAATGCCAATGTGCATGCTATCACTAGACAAAACGGATGATGATAAGTTGGTCGGCTGCCTGTTGGCCCGTCTTATGCCCAAAAGGAGCTGCTGCTTTTCGTCCCTGTTTCCACAAGAAAGAACCCTATATGGCTATATCACACTATATCAACACTTGGGGAGAAAAACTTAATTTACAGATGTCTGTGGAACTTCTGCCATTCATCATTACCTAATGAATAAAACTGAGTCGCCAGCAAATAGTCTCTTTCCACTGACAAAAAGGCTCCACCCGGTCGTAAGCAAGTGACGTTTGGGTTGGCCTAAATTACACAATCATCAAGATTTAAGCAACATGTGTACACTAGGCTATATGGATAGTTATAAAGTTTCCACTAAAAAATAGTCATGTTAACCAAAAGATAGGATTGAAGGTAAAAGATAAGGCATTCTGAATATATTGAATTTTTCATTGGCATTCGTTCCTAGTTTGAAAAAATCACCCTTAAACAAGGGACGTGTATTAAGAAGCTAGGAAAATCTGAGGCCATGTTTGTAAACTGAGGGGTTAAACTATTATTTCTAAAACAATATTGGAATTCTTAGTAGACTAGAATTTCATGGCTCGTAAGTGTTTTTGACTTACCGCGGTAAATATGACGAAAAGTCCATACATTATCGTGCAAATCTCTGGCCACAAGCTCTTGCGCAGGCGGTTGCATTGTGAAGTCCTTATAACAACAACAGTCTTAGAAAAAAGTGTTTAAAAATTATGAAACAAACAATCGAAACGAGAATTATTTACACTAACCAGTGGAGGGAAAATCTTTTCTGCTGCACGACGAGGCACGGAAAAACCCCCATGAGTGCTGGTATCACTTGCCGTCAGGGTTTTGCAGAAAAACTCTGTCTGGGGCTTGTGAACTTTGATTGACAAATCCGACCTCAGTAAAGCATCCTTGTCAAACTGCAATTTCAGTGGCATATAATATTTTTATTCTATGTTCTCCACTTTCAAGAGTTAATTTCTTCTCATATGTAGTTGACATTTCATCATTCCATTCCACCTAAAACGGGAAAACATACCGAGGACACTGGCTGGAGGGTCATCCGAGCATATACTTCATCCGTTTCTGGATCAGCCTAACAGAATTGACAGTACAGTATGCTATTAATTTCACATTCAGAAAATTTTGATACGAATGCTCTAAGTTGAGTCGAGCATACGTGCAGGGTGACTGTGTGAAGGAGGCACAACAGTTTCGAGGGTAGATTTGTGTAGTTTGGGATTTGAGCATCAACATCCTTTTTCATAGATGCTGCAACCTGATAAAGGCAAGGAGAAGGTAATGGAATTAGAAAAATCAGTCTATGAAAACATGCATGTTTTTTAGTGAATCTTTCACACAAATGCAAATGTTGCGAGTTTTATCACTGGATTTACACCAAACAAAAAATTCTAATGCATGGGAAATATTTTTTAACACAGCCTATAGTTTTATCACTGGATTTACACCAAGTATGTATTATTTTTGAAATATTCGAATACTATGGGTAGAAAACAAGCTTCACTTGTTAATTTTATCAAACAAAATTTCCAAGCATGAATATATTAAATCAGATTTTTGTGGAAATAATTTTTAAACGCGTTGTGGCTATGGCGTGGTTGAATAGGAGATGAACATGTGATTAAAGAATATAATACCGCCTCAAAGTGGAAAAAAATGTCATAAAATGCAAACTTTAAATAAATAAATAAAAATAACCAAAAAAAAATAAATAAAAAATAAAAAAAGCCCACACCATCCCAGCAAAGCTGCGCAAATTAGCATGGACCACTAACTACCGTCACTATAGTTCTGCCTAGGGCTGCAAACGAGTCGAGCGGCTCGCGAGCGCTCGAGTCAAAGCTCGATTGGAGCTTGAGTTTGACCGAAATCGAGTCGAGCTCGAGCGGGTCGAGCACGAACTCGAGTCGAGCTCGAACCCATATTTTGCATTGTCGAGCGGATCTGTATATATTAAATTACTAAAATGTCTCATTGGTTCTCTTGAATTTCATCTCTAGCTTACCCCAACTTGCTTGGGACAAAAAGACTATGTTGTTGTTGCAAAATATCCCTTATATTTATTTAAATAGTATAACACAAGTCCTTAATGGCAATTTCACTTAAAAATTTTGAGTCGAACTCGAGCATTTGGTTTCGAGCAGAGCTCGAGCTATTGTATTTTCTTATCGAGCTCGAGCCTCATAAATCGAGCTCGAGCAGCTAAAAAAGAAAATTCAATCCTTCTTAATAAGGCCAATGCTCAACTCAGCTCGGCTCGTTTGCAGCAGTAAGTTCTGCCCCTTTATAACAACCCTCCTCTCTTTTTATTTTATAACCTTTGGTTATCATAAAACTCAGCTCTGCAAGCTACTCCACATGTCAAACATATCATACCTAATTATTCCAAATACCAGCTCACGATAACAAGGACTGATAGACATATACCCACACAAAATCCACATAGCATTTATTAGAGCACCCACAATGCTTTGGGTTTCTTAGAAAAAAGTTACATGCCATGTAAGAAATAGACCTAGTCTATAAAAAAGTGTTCTCCAATGCAATTAAAAGTGGACCTAGTCTAGCTTATGTGGCAATAAAAAAATGAGACCTAGTCCACACTTGGGTCTATTTTAGACCCAAGTACAAACCCAAGCACTCATCATTTATTCCTCATTTAATTTTTCTTTTAATAAATAAAATATACTAGAGCATTTTTATTGGTTGTCATGTATTCTAGACCTAGTACTTTTTTGTTTTGCATTGGATAGATTTTGGTTTTTAGTTTAGGTTTGTCCATGTCATTATGGACTTAAGTCTATTTATTTGCCACATATGCAAAAAGAGACCCAAAGCATTGTGGATGCTCTTAAACACTCAAAAAATAATAATAATAATAATAATAATAATAATAATGACGAATCATGGAATCCTCCCATGTGATCAAATTATGCAGCGATTCAGAACCGCGCACGTTAGCAGCTGCAACACGACTCTATTAACAGCACCAGTAGATTATGCACTATGTAAATCTTCATCTTCTTTTCGTAACAACAAGAAAACAAAAAGATTTTACCCTGAGTGAAAAAACAAAGATGGAGAAGAAGAAGAAGATGAACCTGTTCACTGTGGCCTTGAGGGAAATAGACGACGTGGGTCCCGGCCGCCGGTAGGTTTACCAGAGGGCCTGCGCACGCTTGCCATAGCTCGCTGTTTATATTCTTCTTCTCAGCTTCCGCTGGCCATTAATTTTCCACGACACAAAAGTAAAATCAGCAAAGGGGATTTGAATGTGAGGATAGCAACAAATTCGAAAAGAAAATGGTAGAACTATTTGTTTGAAAAAAAAAAAAAAAAACAATCAATTCGAGTTGTGTTTGCATAACCGTAAATCTGGTCGGATAGGTTTAATAGGAGAGAGGGACCTTCAGCAGCGGAGGTGGAAGCGGAGGTGGAGGCGGAGGCGGAGGCGTTTGCCTGCTGAGCTCCGGCGCCGGCGGTCGTCGTCTTCATTTTCCTTGTGTATAAATTGGTGCCTCCGGGAGCTCTGCTGTTTTCAAGCTCGAGTTACCTGCCGGAGCTTTTTTCCTCACCGGTCCCTCATCTCGCGGGACAACAAGCAATCAGGCAAAAGGGAAATCAAATCCTTCAACCTTTTGACGCGAGCTGATGAGAACAAAACTGGATTTACTAATCCTAATAAAAAAAGGGGGGAAAGGGAAACTAGAAAGGTTTTGAAGTTTTCAATGAAGTGTCGGCAATTTATCCATGGCGCCGGTGCCGGCGCCGGGAGAAATCTCCGGCGAGAGGTGGGGATGCAGAGGGAGAAAGGCACTTTTGAGACGAGACAAGAGGAGCTTTGGGTAAAGGAGAGTGAATGTTGAGGACAGCACACAGACCAAATGCTAGGAGCAATTCTCTCTCTACTTTTCAAAATTGTAAAATTGCTCCCTTTTCCACACTAACACCGTCCACAATACTTACACGCTTTCTCTCTCATATCTATATGTATATATACGCGAGTGCGTGCATATGTGTGTTGCTTTTTTTCTCTCTTATTCCTGCTGGTGGTCTTCTCAAGGACCTTTTGCAGGCTCCATTTTTTCACCTCTCTCTCTCTCTCTAATGTATGTAAAATAATGAAGAAATAGAAATGGTTGTCTGCATTGGTTGTATGTATCTCTCTTTGTCCAACTTGTTTTTTTCTACGTGCAAGAATATATTATGTTCTCTCTGAACTGGAAATGGTAAATTGGGGTGATTGATTGGAAGTCAAAACTATAAAAATCGATAAAAAATAATTTTTAAGTTCAAGAGTTAAAATGAATTACTTTGAATAACGTTGATCAGTAGAATGAAAGAGGAGAAGAGATCATATAAGAAAGAGAGATAATGAAATAAATAGAAATGATTTTAGACCATTTGATCACCTAACCAATAGTTATGATAAAGTCAAAATTTAATAAATAATAATTAAATATGGATGGCAGTAACATAAATAAGTATATAAATCGTGGTCAAATATATGTTTTTACCACTAAATAAGGATAAAATAGTCATTACACACACCATTTAATCAACAACTAGTAGTGGGCCCCACCGCAAACCATTACCCCCTCCCACTCTCTCACACACTCGAATACACACACAGAAATTCAGATTTTTTCACGCACACACACATTTCACACACACACACACACACATACACTCACACAGAAGGCGGCACCACAGCCCACGGCCACCGCCCGTCGCCTCAGACCTCACGCACCCAACGCTGCCCACCATCGCATCACTACAGAAAACAAGGCGTTTGTGACGCTTTTTTTTTGTTTAGTGACGTTTATTAGTGTCACAAAAAATTTAACTACGCTATTAAAAGTGTCGCGAGTTGCGTTGCTAAATTTGATGTCACGAAATTATCTACGACACAAGACTTGAGCGTAGGTAAGTTTTCATGCGTGACGCTTTTCTAATTGCGTCACTTTGGTAGAATTTGTGACACAAGTCATTTGCGTCTGCAATAATAATACCTGACGTTTCTTTTAGTGCGTCATCATTATAAATTTTGGCGACACTTTAGTATGTGTCGTTATGATAACTTTTGATGACACAAAATTTATGCGTTGATAAATTTCATTGTGCAACATTTTTTATAGCGTCATAATTATGTATTTAGTAACACTTTTGTAACAATTTCATTAGGAATGTAATGGGCTAGGCCGGGCCGAATAGTTACGGACTCGAACCTAGCCCACACACCTGCCAATGGACCCGCTCTGGCCAGGGACCTGTGAGCAGCTACTGGTCCAACTGGTAGGGACCGCGACCTGGTCCGTTCCGAGGCCAGCCGACCGCCCTGCCTTGCCCCATCCCAAATATGTCTTTTTTTTTATTTACCCGATAAACAATACATTTAAAGAATATAAATTGAAACAAAAATTAATATAACCCATATAATAATATTTTAACAATCTCACAAACACTAATAGTTTTACAATTTAGAATACAAATATTCAAATATGAAAACTAAATAACATTTTAGCAATCCAAAAACACACTGATAGGCTTTCCAGTTCTTGCTCCATGAAGACCGCTCTGAAGGTAACACGACAATGTCTGTTCGAGTACTAAGTAACTTTCAAAAGCAAACAATGATTCCCTTCGTTGTTTGTGTTGGACATGTTCCGAAGGTCATACAACATTCACATGCTTCCAACAGTTGCAATCATCAAGCAGACAGCAGTTGCCGACAAACACGTTCCGACTGGGAGTATGTGCCAACAATTGAACCAAAACTTTATCGTTTTATCCCAACTAAGTGTGATAACTTGACCTAAAATAGTGTGAAGAAGTTATAAACAAAAATATGATATGTCAATCAGGTGCGTCTGTGATACAAACCTTGCAAATAAAATTGTTTTTTGTTAGAGTAAATTGTTCGTCCTGAAAATTCCCTAACTTTTCAAAATTTGAGATTGAATATTTTGACATGAGCAGGAGAAGAATGGTTCGACAAGGGTAAAATTTCATGTTCAGCAAAAACATACAAATGAATAATCCACTATAAGAATGACACTCATATCGTATCAACATCTACATAATACGCACACAAAGATTGCATTCTAAGTTGAACCCTCAAACTTAAAAGCAAAGCCTACAAACTAAGTTTATGCCTTCATCAATACTGAAAAGCAATAAAAAGTCAGAATTTTGAATAAAGAACTAACCAATTGCGTATGAGTACCAGGCGACATGCCTCCCCAAAATATCTTTCCTATTGTTGTTGAACACAAGCCTGGAACCCCAAAAATTCTATATGTGTAGGCATAGAAATTCTCATCTACACATGAATAATCACATTAACCCCCAAAAAAAGAAAATAAAAGATAGCAACACATGTTAAAGTCAATTCAATACCAAAAGAGCTAAACACCATCACAGTGACAAGTTAAATTAAATAACTGAAAACTTAGGTCTTTGAAATGGAAGATTGAAATCACCTTCTACAGAGTGATCAAATAGAGGCACTAAACCCTGATGAGTCATCGTGAAAGCAGTAATCAAGCATGCCTCCTCCGTGCATAATCTCTCCCCTAAGTGTATAGGCGCTCGCATTGAACAATCAAACACTATAACAATAAAAGGAACTAATTTTGTTTAAAGAAAGTAAAATATCAACACCATGAAACTTGTTTTGTAACAGATCTTTTGCTAAAGCTCACGGCGAAAGTATTTTTAAAGAGAATAAATATTAACTTCAAAGTATTTGTGTGAAGACATATAAGCCTTGGCTTCTCAAAATCATTACTAAGTTCCATAAGTTCAATGACTTGAAACATCTGAAAAAAGATAGGGAAAACAAAATCAATACCTAAATAACACTTCAAGATCATAAAAGTAGTACAATATCCAGAGCAAGTAAACCTACCTCAATCAAACCTTCAATCAGAAACTCATTATATCCATAGTATTAACCTAAATCTCTTTTAAGTTTATCGACATAATCCTTGTGTGCCTCCCCTTCTCGCCTCAAAGCATTAAAGTTCAAAAGAACTTGCACAACTGAAATAATAATGCAACCTCGATATAAATCAAAGACGATTCAAACTAACAACAAAATATGTAACAAAACAAACATACTTTGGCAAGATTGGGGAACCTATTCGCCTCTCTTCGAGCTGCTGCATTATCAAAATAATAATAAAAAATAATATAAATCAAAAATTTCTTTTCAAGAGGATAGAGAAATATAATATCCCATCATCCAAACCTCCGGGGTCGGTAATGTGAACTCATCAACAGAACACGCACAAAAGGAGCAAGAACTGATAAATATAAAGGAAAAAGACAGAGCAAAACGAAGGTGAAGCTCAGTACCTAGGTTGCTTGAAATAAGACCAATTTGAATGCATTTTTTGTTGGATATATTTTGGTATAAATACACGGGAATCCTACGAACTGATATGTATTTTCAGTTCTTACAAATAATCTAAAAATAGAAAATTACAATTGAACTGAAAAATAAAATACAACTGAAAAAACGGAAA